GAAAAGCTGCCTTTAGAGTAACCTTCTTTTTTTCTTTCTTTTTAAAAAATATATCTTTATTGACCTCAGAGAGAGGAAAGGTGAGGAAGAGAGAGAGAGAGAAACACCAATGATGAGAGAGTCATTGATCGGCTTCCTCCTGCACGCAACCCGGGCATGTGCCCTGACCAGGAATCGAACCTCGATCTCCTGGATTCTAGGTCGATGCTCAACCACTGAGCCATACCTGGCTGGGCTAGATTAACTTTCTTTCACGTATTCCAGAGTCAGTTTGGCTTCAGTCCATGAATTTTTCCAGTGAATGCAGGAAAGTCTACTTCTACTTTCTGAAAGCACTTTTAATCAGAATTTCCCCAGATTTTCTAATAACCTGAAGGTCTACCATGAAGGCTTCAGAATAGTCCAAGGAATCTTTCCACCTTCTACTAACCTGATCAGGAGGGACACTGTGTGGCACTTTAGGGATAGAAGTCAGGGATGGGAAAAGACTCAGATCTTTTCATGGAACTTCTGGGACAACAGATAGAAGGCCTTAGAGAAAGAAGACCCCAAAATGTTCTAAGACCTCCCTATGCATAGCTCAGAGCTTTTGCCTTTGACTCAGTATTTTCACAGTGTGCCTGGTAACAAAAGACAGAGAAAGGATTATTGGTCCATTTGACAGCTGGATATGAGGAGCAGGAAAAGATACAGATGTAGAACTGTAGACATATTGTGGACATAATGTCAGCCTAGGAAACGTCAGCCTAGCACATGCAACGAGGTAGAGACAGGAAAGATCAAGTGACATTGGAATCAGTGATCCTGGTGCCCAAAATTTGGCCAAGTATAGTATATTAGAATATTGGGTTATGATAGATTGGAATGATCTGGACTATAATACCCCTTTCTTTCTGCATTCATCATTATTCCTTTCTGGTTACTCTAGAACCCCTGGCCAAGAGCATCTATGGTGGAACTGATAAGTTGGAGCTGGAACAGTCCAGTGTCTCCATATTATTAGATGATGGAATTCCATTTGGTTCTGAGCCCCTGCCCCCACTTCCAGCTTTAAGGCGGCAGCTCTCATTGCTTTTTTTTTTTTATCCTCACCAGAAGACATTTTTTCCATTATTTTTTCAGACAGAGTGGAAGGGAGAGAGAGAGAGAGAAATATCAACGTGAGAGAGACACATCGATTGGTTGCCTCGCACATGCTCCGACCAGGGCCAGGGATTGATCCTGCAACCGAAGTACATGCCCTTAACCGGAATCGAACCCAGGACCCTTCAGTCTGTAGGCCGACACTCTAACCACTGAGCCAAACCAGCTAGTGCTCTCATTGCTTTTTAATCCTGGACTGAGGACTTTGTCTTGGCCCTTTGACCTACAAGGAGTGTCAGAGATGGACTCTCTCAACCACCTCTTTAACCTGGCACATTTGAGGGAGGGGCAGCTAAGACTTGGGGAGAAAAGTGGGGTGGTGAGGGAGGAAAAGGTGATTGCACTTGCTCCTCCCCCAAAACTGACTTCTCCTGCCCATCCACCCCCAGACGGAAGAGGACAAGAAGAACCTGCTCCGGCTGCAGGACCTGGTGGACAAGCTGCAGCTGAAGGTCAAGGCCTACAAGCGCCAGGCCGAGGAGGCGGTGAGTTCATGGTTTTCTCCACTCTAATGAATAGACTCCTGTGTGTTTGAAGCAATAAGTGTCTTCCCCAGCATGGGGCCTGGACAACGCGTTTGTAGTCACTTTAACTTTCAAACATTTGTTACAGGTGTCCAGTGTGCTCAGAGTTGTGTCAGGTACACTGAGTTAGCAAAAGCAATGCTTATTTGACCCAGGACTTGCCTACAAGCTGCTTATAATTCATATCCAAGCCCAGGAGAAAGCAGTGTGGCTGCTCATATAGGTCAGGAGGCCAGACAATGCTAAAGGGCTGGAAGGTGGCAGTGAAATTGAGCCTGAAAGGGAAACCGACCAGGCATAGCACAGTGAGGAAGACATCTGGATGGGCAGAAAAGTGTGGATGTGAGGTGTTGCTGAGCACACCTATGCAGGAAACCCCAGGTACAGGAGCGTCCATCAGATTCACAGTTGGACGGGTGCAGCGAAGCTAGAGTTGAGTAGGACCGGACCAGGCAGCAGGGAGTCATCTTGGGCAGTGGATGACCATGGAGGATTCTGAGTACTGGGCAGGTTTGAGGAAGGTGCCAAGCCAGGAGTAGGATGCCCTTGGCAAGGCTTTTGCAGGAACATGGGTGAAGGGTGAGAGTACTGAACCCAGTCAGGGACAGGGAGTCCCCACCCCCTCTCACCTCATCCTCTTACCCCCTTGAACCCTGCAGGAGGAGCAGGCCAACACCAACCTGTCCAAGTTCCGCAAGGTGCAGCATGAACTGGATGAGGCAGAGGAGCGGGCGGACATCGCTGAGTCCCAGGTCAACAAGCTGCGGGCCAAGAGCCGTGACATCGGCACCAAGGTGAGTCCCTTCCCAGGCCTGGCTAGTCACCCCCACAGCAACTTTCCTCCAACATTAGTGCCCCTCTGAGTGGGCACTTCTTACCCTATATTTGGATAGCCCTAAGAGTCCCATAGCAGCCATTCCTGACAATCCCCTTCCTGCTCAGAGCAACCCTACGACTGGAACCTCTACAGAACCCCAGCCCCTCGGGGTTCCATTTAGAGGTCCTAAATCACAAAGACCCCTAAATGGAATCCTAATATCCCTGAGACCTGAACCTCTCCCTCTCAGGGTATCTCCCTTACGCCCATGAAAGCCTTGGAGATTCCTCCCCACAGCCTTCCTCCTTTTTGCCAGCTGCCCCCTCACACCTTTTATTCTTTTCCCAGCAGAAAATGCACGATGAGGAATGACACTGCCTTCAGGACCTTGCTCTTGCTAACTTATAATAAATCTGAGTGCCACACTCTGCCTGAGCCCCTGTCCTTTCTGTCCTGAGCTTGGAAAGCAGCCCTGCCCTGTGTCCAAGCTGTGGTAGCCAAGGTTTCCCACATCTGTGGAGGAGGAAACTGAGACCCTGAGAAGGGAAGTGTCTTCCCTGGGACAGCAGAACCATGAGTCCAATTCTGCTCAGTCAACCAGTTAAAGGGTGAGAGGGAGAAATTTCAAAAGTGAATAAAACAAAGACACCAGAAGGGTGAGCCAATTCTAGACACTGAGAAACAGAATTTTAGTGCCAAAGCTGAAGCCACTCTCCACCTATCCCACCTCTGAGGCCAGGGTTAAAAGTGTCCTGGGACACCCATTTCCTCCAAAATAAATTTCCCACTGATGCAAGGAGAGGTGTAGAGCTGGCTGGGGATGGACATGCAGATAAAGAGGTTGGGACAGGTCCCATTGTAGTCATCAGCCCCTTAGAAGTAACCCACGGGGAGTCCCTCTTCCCATGATCCCCAAGGACAGTCAGCTGGGGCCAAGGACTGACCTCAGCCTCTGTGGCTCAGCTCCTCACATGTAGGCACAGATGCACATGTAGGTACACACCATAAATGGCACTTCTCTCTCTCTGAGCTCCCACAAGGGATCGTCTAGTTTGGGTCACACAGCTCTCAGGGAACAGGACTGGTCCTGACCTCATTCTGCTCCAGGCAAACCCCTGCCCCATGCTGGGCTTTACAGCAAGGCTCCCCTGACCACTTTCTCATCCCCTCCCCTGGCACCTCATCTCCTGGATGCCCTTGGCTAAGCCCCTTCTAGCCCTCCTCTGAGGCTTTGCCCTGCCCCCCAAGGTTAGCCCCCAGTCTTCAGAATGGGGTATGCATGAAGCCCTGAGAACTGTGAGCAGAGACTAGAGAAACACAGAAACCTTGGTTCCAGCTCTGGTGAGGAGCCAAGACATGAGGCTAGAAGACCAAGAAGCAGGAGGCCAGAGAAGTCAGACCAAGATACCCGTGGTTATCACCAAGGGGAGCCAGGCACATCTACCAGAGTCCCAGGGTTCAGGCAGGGCTTAGGAGCTGGGGCCTGCATCTGGAAGGAGCACCCAGAAGAAGGAAAGCATTTCAGGACAGGAGCAAACAAGCATTAGAGAGAGGAGATAGCAAGTCAGCTTGGATGAGCTGCTGAGCTAGGCCACACTGGGCTCTGTGGGGCTGGGCAGGGACAGCCTGGCTGCACAGGACTGTCCTGGCTGTGGCAGTGCCTGCTCCAAACTCCTCCTGGGCAGAGCTTTCCCAGAGCATTCATCATGGGGAATCATGACAGCCTTTCATTAGCCTGCCTCCTACCAGTCCCTGAGTGCTAAAGGACAGGCCTGCCTGTCACCTCTGAATCCCTGGGGCCCAGCACAGGGATCCTGCCTACAGGAGATGCTCAAGAAATGTTTACTGGGTGCTAGCAAGCTGGGAAGGTGGACCCACTGGTGGAGGGAGCTGGAGGTGAGGTTGGATCATGTTTTCTGAGCTATAAGGGGACTCTGTACAGTATCCAGAACACTGGTTGAGGTGTTAGGTGCACTGGGCTCTAGTCCGAGCTCTGTCACAAATAAGGATGTCACTTCCCCTAACCGGGCCTGTTTTCTCTTATGGGGAATGAGGGCTGATATTTAAGGCCTCTTCCAGTGCCTGCCTTTTGGGAACCTCAGTCCTCATCTGAAGCCACAGGCTGACCTCTCCCCTGTAGCCTGCAGGCCAAGTGCTCCCACACCACAAGGGGGAGCTCTACACACACCTCAGGCAAGCACCTCAGTTTCAAACCGCTAACAAACCTGTGTACGCAGGAGTAGCAGTGAGCACTCACATCAGGAAGGCTGTTCCTACTCACAGAACTCCAGGTGCCCAGCCACCAGGCACACCACAAAGTTGCCTTGCATACAGAGATCTGTGGCATGGAAGTTTTGTGCTGAAAGATGTCTTCAGCATCTTCAGTCTTGCGCCCCACTTCATTGCTGAGACCTGATACCAGGGAAGGGGCCATGACCTGCTCCAGGCAACCTTTCTATGAACACTCCTTGGATTTCTGATAGGCCTAATTTCTGAGGAAGAAAAAGACTGAACAGTAGGATTTGAGTCTTTTAATTTGGAAATGACCAACTTCTTCCTGCCCATTCCTCTCTCCATAACACCCCTCTTCAGCCCAGCTTTACCAGGAGCCAGATATTAGAGCACCAGGCCCACAAACAGATCCCCATGACTTCTCAGGCCAGTCTCCATCTCTGTAGATCAGGGGTGGGGGACAATGGACAGGGTGCTAGTGAATCCAAGAGATGTCCCTGGGCTCCACTGTCCCCTTGGTCTGGCTGTGGCCCTGGGGTCACTGTTGGTCCCCTGTGAAATGGAGCCAAGCAGGGAAAGGCATATCAGGCTGGGGCAGCTGGGGCAGGGGGTAGAAGGGCATCTCCTCTTCCAGAACACAGACACTCACCCTGAGTGGCCCTGGGCACAATCTCAGTCTGGTAGATCTTGAAGGCATCGTAGGCAAAAACAGAAACCAAGATGATGCCAAAAACCTGTGGAGCAGGAGTGGGGATGGCACCACAAAAGCCACCCAGTATTAGGGAGAGGTAGGTGGGTGGTTGGGGGCAAGGTGTGGGTCAGAGCCCCAGGCACTGGCTTAGGCTTGTGGGGGAGGCACAAAAAGTGAGTAGCACCAGCTAAAGGTCCTTGGGGAACTGGAGAGCTCTGGGGCCTGAACTCACAAAAGCAGCAATGGCAGCTCCATCCCGGGAGGTCACAGCTGCAAAGGACACCACCAGGAAGATGATGATGGCACTAACACAGCGGAGGAAGTCCTGGGGGTCAAAGGGAAGTCAGAGGGCAGGGGCATCCCCCTGAACTTTTCCAGGCTAGTCAGCACTTAGCCCTCCAGCCCACAATCCCTGCATAAAGATGCTCCTGGACTACCTAAAGCACTTAAGAGAAAAGAGAGAGGGAGCTCACAGGCTATCCAGGGAAGGGATGCAGGTGAATGCAGAGTGACCAGGACAGTAAGCCTGGGTCTGGGGTGCAGCTGACACAGGCTCAGCAGCTGAGACCAAGGAGTAAGGCTGGGGGATGCCAGCCTTGGATGCCAAGGCAGGTCTGGGGCTTGGATTGGGCCTTTGATGAGTGAGAGAGCAGATCTAAAGGATGTGCATCTTGCCCTGGCCTGTGTAGCTCAGTTGGTTGGAGTGTCTCCCCATGCACCGAAAGATCGATTCCTGGTCAGGCGCATAGGACAGGCAACTGATGGATGTTTCTCTCTCACATTGATGTTTGTCTCTCCCTCTCCCTTCCTCTCTCTCTAAAAAAATCAATTAAAAAAATTTTTAAAGGATATGCGTCCTCATTGTCAGTGACCCAGCAGCTGTGAATCAGCGTGAGTCAAAGCAGTTTTTGAGCACAGGGCACAGCTTGGGACAAAGCCCGACTGGGGTCAAGGGACCCAGGGAGAAGGAGAGAGGCTAGAGAGGAAAGGAAAACTCCACATTCAGAGGAGAAGAAAGGAGCCAGAATGGGGGGGCAGGGGGCAGGGTCCCTCACCAGACAGGGCCAGTTCAGCCGATCGAGACGCTGGTAGTACTGGGTGGCATAGAGGAACAGGAAGGCGAGGGTGATGAAGAACTCGAGCAGGGCCGCAGCCATGTAGGCGGAGATGGAGGCCGTGAAGCAGATGAAGATGATGAAGGTCAGGGCCTGCAGGACCGAGTGTGTGAACTTGCCAGTAAGGAGACGCAGGCACAGCCTGGCCTTGACTTTCTCCTCCTCAGGAGCTCCCCCAGACTGGCCCCCACCACCTGTCCTTGAAGATCTCCCCATCCCTGGTGGTAGGAACCACATTCCAGGGCTTTTGCCCAAGGGAAGTCTCCAGCCTCCCATCTCTGCCAGCCCAGGAGGATTTGAATCTTCTAATTTGGGGATGACCAGCCACCCCCTGCCCCTGCCCATCCCAGCAGCCCTGGCACTTTGGTGTCCTGCTGGGACACAGAGCACAGTGTGAACTCAGTCCCTGGAGTCCTGCAGGAGCCCTGCGCCCCAAGAGGCAGCCTGTGCCCCATAATCCTTTTCCCACTCCCGGATGCCTCAAACTCCTCTAACAAGGCCCAGAGCCTGTGGCTCTGTGGCAAGAGACAAGGTTTAGAAGACAAAACGCCCCACAGTGGGTTCCAGGGCCCCTTTGGCCCTGGCACTGTAGGATGGCACCTGTGCAGAAGACTCACCTCTATACGAAGGCCTTGCTAAGTTACTACGGGGAGATCTTTTCCTGGGAACAGATGTTCATGGGAACAGACAAAAGATACAATGGGGCTCTAGGAAGTCTGCCCTTTTTGATAGTTGGACTTCTTGGACATGTCAAGAAGGGGCCATCTTAGGACCCGGGAAAGATAGGCTGGTGTTACCCCCATCCCGTCCCTGTGTCTTGCACTCCCTTGATGTCCCAGAAAGCTGACCCGGCTAGCTTCAATCCTTCCTGCTGCGACTGAAACCTGCTGTAACTGCCTCCAGATGCAGACGCAGCTGGCAAGCAGGAAGGAGATGAAAGAGGGGCAGCTGGGGGTAGGAGGGGTGCCCAGAAAGCCTGGGAAGAGAGGTGGTGGCAGGGCAGGGGGCCAGGGCTAGGAGACATGGAGGTGCCAGGTTGGGGTGGCTGCTGTTACCAGCTCAGTTTCCAGCAGGATGCCTTTGAGGGAGGAGAGGAAGGTCTTGTCCACAGCGAAGCCCTGGAGCCCTGCAGCTGCCCCCTCTTCAGGGGGGCGGTCCCGGCGATCCAGAGCACTGAGCATCTCCACGGGGCCCACCAGACACAGCACCTCACTGCCAGCAGCCCAGGAAGGGAAACAGGAAGACGGAAACCTGGCAGGATGGGTAAGCAGACAAGAGAAGGAAAGCACTTTGAGAAACCTGAAAGTGAAGCGTGTAGGCCTGCTGTGGGGTCCTAGGGGAAAGCCACCGCCCACCGGGGGAGGCCTGCCCAGATGGGCCTTCACCCAGCTGCCCAGAGTGGCCCTGTTGGTGCCTGCACCAGCCCCCAAGAGGCACAAGGGGAGGGGAGGGGAGAGGAGGGGCTGGGGAGGAGTGGCCAACCCTCCTCTGACTTGGAGAAGGGAGGAGGGGGAAAAGGAGGAGGTCTGTGGAGACAGGGAGGAGCTGGGAGTGGAGCCAAGAAACGGGTTGGACTAGGAACCCCCAAGGACCTAAGCCTAAAGAAGTTTGTGTTCCCACCCCTAACCTTAACCCTCTTCTTTGGCCCATCTTTTCTCCCTTTTCCTTTTAAGGAGGGTGGGAGCTGGAGCCGGGCCAGGCAGCACCCCCAGGACCCAGCTGTAGCAGCCAAGATGAAGGACAAAGGCAGATTGTTGGGGGACAAGGGGGTGCTGTGTTCTTGCCGCAGTGCCTCAATGGACCTCTGTCTCTCCAGCATGCCAGGGGGTGGCCTGTCCCCCACCCTGGTGTTCAGGGATGGACCAGGGAGCCAGAGGAGAGAGATGGGAGGCCACAGCGGAAACTCTAGAGAAGCGGTAGGTGAGGGCTGACCATGGGGAGGACAAGGGACTGGGCTGGGGACCACAAGGTGTTCAGGCACCAGGGTGCCAAAGACAAATTAAGCCATTTTAAATACAGATTATTTATTTGGATAAGTCTCCATGCTCAAGAACAGCTTCTTCCTCAGAGTCACCCATGTCAGAAGTCTAGTAACATGCTCACTGAGTGTTTGATGAATGAATAAATGAACGAACAAGCAAACACATAAATGAAATGAGGGTTCTTTGTTGGCAAGGGAGAAAATATCAAGAAAGTGCCTGTGCTTCTCGAGGGCAGCTGAGGATGGGAGGAAAGGAAGAGATGGGTGGTGGCCTCCAGGAATGACAGAGCTTTATTAAAAGAAGTGCCAGGATGCCAGCTTCCAGCGGCCACAGCAGCTGCTGCTCCCTTCGCTTCACCTGCATTTCCCATCCACTCCAAAAAGTTCAAGTGTGTTTTCCTATAAAGTCTCCGTCCTGTCCCACGATCCTGCTGCTCCAGGTGATACTTTGGAGGGGCCGCGCACTCGGGCATCCTGGCTCACCATAGTAAATGGTTGTACACGCAGCTCCAGTGTTCTGACCAGGGACCAGCCATGGGCAGCATGACTAGGCCATCACACGGGGCCGCACGCACACGCAAGCCAAGGAGACACGGTAGAGCCTGCGTTCCAGGCAGTAGCCATCACGGGCACCCTGCTCTCCAGGGCACCGCCGGCGGTAGAAGACGGTCTGGTTGTGGTATAGCAGCTCTGAGTTGCCGAGGGGGTCCATGTGGGAGCCTGTCTGTAGGCTGACGCAGTGTGGACACAGGCAACGGGCGTGGTACAGGTCCTGGGGGAGCCGGTTCAAGTCCCTGTCCAACCTGTGGGGGTGGCACTTGTCAGTCAGGCCCTGAGGGAAGCTGGCTGGGCAGACAGGGCCTGGGCCAGATGCAAGGAGGGCCCAGGGTGGGTGGAAATGCCAGAGGAAAGAAATGGTGTGGTTGGGAGGCCTGGCTTCATGCCCTACCTCTGGCACCCACTTGCTGGGTGACTTTGAACAAATCACCCCCTCCTCTCTGGGATTTATTTTCCTCAATGGCGAGGGTCAGGACGGAAGTGTGGCTTTCCAACCCTCCACCAGATCAGCTCCGCTTCCCTCTGATATACACACTGGGCTCTGGCATGAGGTTTCTCTTTGTACTTGATATTACATTTTAGGGTATTTTTAATTATAAAAGTAAAAACTGTTTTCACATTTAAAAAATATAAAATGAAGACTAATTGTCTTATCTCCCCACCAGTCCCACTCCCCAGAAGGTGCCACTGTCAATCATTTCCTGCACCTCCTCCAGACAGCGGCTGTGCATATATTATAAGCACATGTTAGAGTGAATGGTGAGACTTACTTATTTATTCTGAAAGGATCTCATGGCGAAAAGTAGCCCTAGCTGGTTTTACTCAGTGGTTAGAGCATCGGCCCACAGACTGAAAGGTCTGGGGTTCGACTCCCCACCAAGGGCACATACCTTGGTTGCAGGCTCAGTCCCTGACCAGGTTGGGGCGAGTACAGGAGGCAACCAAACAATGTGTCTCTCTCACATCAATGTTTCTCTCTCTCTCTCTTCCACTATCTGAAAAGCAATGAAAAAAAATCCTCGGGTGAGATTAAAACAAAAAAGGTGAAAAGTAGGTGTTGCATAGGTCTGGGACTCCATGCAGACAAGCCCTCAGAAGCTGGGGCTCAGCTAGCACAGCATTTTTCCAAAGTGGGTTCCCTAATAAGTACCTTGCCAGAGAAGGGGTCTGTAGCCAGATGAGTTTAATTGTTTCTTTTCTGTGCCTTCTCCCAGACTTTAATGTGCTGAGCACATTGTGAGTCTCCAAGGGGATCAGGGCGGGAACAGCTTTATCCACACTTGCTTGACAGCATCACTTTTTTCTAAGGAGCAGCTTATGGGATGAGTGTGGCAAGGAACTCACTTTAGGGAAGACCACCTGAGTGGTTCTCAGGGGCCCACAGCCTCCCAAAAACAGGTCTGGACCCCAACTGAGTTAGCCATTTGACCCCCAGCTTTCCCAGGACCCAGCCAGCCTTCTGAGCCATTTCAAAGCACAGTAACCAGGAGTCTCCACCCTGGATCTAGTCTCAGTCAGAACCAACCCCTCTTCCCTACCCACTGAACATCTCTACCCATCCCCAAAGCCAAGGTTAAGCCAGAGTAGGAGTAGAAACACAAGGCAGAAGGAGAAATATGTTTGGGATCCCTAAGGCCTAATTTTTAGTATTTTGTTTCATTGTCCCTATTTCAGTGCTTCCTAATACATATATATATANTGTTCTTGTCTTCTGACACCATGTGAAAGAGCTGAAGAAGAAAGGGGAGAGAGGGCTGAATTCTCAACTAATTTTGGAAGTGGAAAATAGAGTTTTTAAAATAATAAAATTCTAAATAAATTTAGTTTTTGATGCAGCAGCTGAAGTGGGAAGTAGACAATTCTTGCCTTGTGTACATTTAGACTGTCGCTACTTGTCCTTTTAATTTTATGGTCACCTATCTCCCCAAATTCTACTATAACCATCAAGTACTTCTTCATAAATATCTTTTTCTTTTTGAATATGTTTTTATTGATTTCAGTGAGAGGAAAGGAGAGGGAGAGAGAGAGATAGAAACATCAATGATGAGCCCGGCCGGGCGTTGCTCAGCGGTTGAGCGTCAACCTGGGATCCAGGCGATTAGGGTTCGATTTCCGGTCAGGGCACATGCCCGGTTTTCGGGCTCGATCAATGACTCTCTCATCATTGATGTTTCTCTCTCTCTCTCCCTCTCCTTTCCTCTCTCTGAAATCAATAAAGATACATTTAAAAAACAAAACAAAACAAAAAACACATCAATGATGAGAGAGTCATTGATCGAGCCCACAACCCGGGCATGTGCCCTGACCTGGAATTGAACCCCGATCGCCTGAATCCCAGGTTGATGCTCAACCCCTGAGCCATGCCCGGCCAGGCTTCCTAATATTTTTCACATCGTGGCACAAATAGAGAACTATCACATTTGTGTGGCACACTGAGTGAAAGACTAAGGTCTGAGGTCAGCAGCCTGGTGCTCCAGCCACCCAGCCACCCCCAAGATGAGAGTTTTATTATCCTGGTATATTTATAACCCACTCACATCACAAGGTAGAGCACTCGGGATGGGGATGCTCCGTGTCTGAGTCATACCACTATTCCCTGATATGCTAGTTAGAAAAGCACAGCCGTTGGAGAGATGAAGGGGGAGGAGAAAGAGGGGAAGGAGAAAAGGAGAGAGACGGCATTTTATGTACTAAATACAGATTTTACATGCATTATGTCACATGATCTGCACATAAGCCTATCCGGTATTATCTCACTTTACAGGTGAAAAATAACCTGAGCTTTGAAACCTTGAGTAATTGGCCCAAGATCACCCAATAAGAGTCAGAGCTAGGACCCAGACTAGGCCTTGTCTAACACCCAAACCTTTATGGCCTCTCTGAGATAAAAAGAAGCAGGTAGGTTGGAACTGGGTAGAACTCCCTTGGCCTCTCAGATACACCCTGCCTGGTACACATGCAGGCATTCGTGAGGGGACAGCAGACTCACACATATCTCCAGGGGGAGATGGACCTGCTGTTGAGGGGTCCGTCTTCGCTGGCCTTGCAGGATACCGGGTGGTCGGTGAGGCTAGCGATCTCTGGGGGAGGCATGAGCACAGTGTTCAACTCTTCAGTGGAGTCCTGTCCCTTGATGGGAAAGCAGCTGGGCCAGTGGATGCAGTCCTTCTGAAGCCGAAAACTCAGGGTGTGTGTTCCCATGACTACTGCTAAGAAGGCAACCACCTGTAGGAAAAGGCCAGTGAGAAAACCACTCCCATCTAGTCTGGGTGCCCCTCTCCCAGCTGCTCCCTGAGATCTTGCTTTCTAGCTCCTGATCCCCAGTCCCGAGCCTTGAAGCCCAGCCTCCCTCCACACACAGCAACATCCCTGCCGCTTTCCAGCTTGGCACCGTCCCCAGCGAGCCTCTGCACACTCACCTGTTTCATGCCGGATGCCAGATGCTGCTCGCCCAGGGTGGTGCTGTACAGGCTGATAGGCAGGGCCCTGTGGAAGTAGGCTGGCTGGAGCAGTTTAGGAGTCCTGGTTTTATTTTCAGCAAACCTGTTTTGTTTATTCAAATTTATTTCCACTACCTTTTGGAGGGAGTAACCTGAGATTAAAAAACAAAACAAAACAAAAACAAAGAAAACCTGACAGAGTTTCCAAAGCTGCTTAAAATGCTCTACTCATGGAAGTTGTGATGAATATCATTGTATGCCTGGAAACCTATTGGGTAAACTTTTCTTTGCACCGGGTCAAAGTAATAGTATTCTGCCATTCTGGGACTTTGAAAACTGGCATTATGGGAATTTCTCTGGATGGCTTGGTAGCCAAAATTAGGAAACATTATCTGTCCTCTCTTCAAGAGGCCTCATTTCCATGGTCTCTGCTGCTCTCACTCAGGGTCTTGTCTCCACCATTCCCTTTCTTCTCAAAAGTCCTCCTGACCACCCACCTTAGTGAACATTTATTTCCACTCTATCTCCTGTAACCCTCATCCCTTCTGTTCTCTGAGCCCTTCCTCATCTTCAATGACCCCAACTTCTGTAACCTCTATCATCTATTACTTTTCCCCATTGTCCATGACCAGCTCCCTAACTTACCCTCGCCCTCTCCATGGCCACCCAAACCCCCATTGCCCTCCATCCCACCCTTTCTCTGATCCCACAGAACTGCCAGAAAGGCCCCCACCCCATCAGTTTGTTGGCTGGATATGCGGGGTCTAATGGAAGAAGCTGTGAGTAACTGTTCCCATGGCACAAATGAGAAGGTAAAGCCAAGAAGGGCAGGGGCCTGGTAACTGCCTAACCTAAGACCCAACCGGAGGTCCCAGTTCAAGGGACCAACCTGCCCCCACCCCTACTCACAGGGCCATGGGGACAAAGTAGGGGCAGCTGCTGTTCTTAGGCCATGAGATGAACCCACCAGCCTCAGAGCCCCCAACTGCATGGGCCACTATCGGCTGGGGAGGGGTTGGAGAATGGTGTGCTTCACACTGGCTCAAGCTGGGCCTGACCCCAAAGACACAGGTCAGCCAGGGACCACCCAGCCTGAGAGGCACTATGCTGAGAGCAGGCCAGAGCCCACATCCTTCCAGGCCTTTTCTCTTCACCCTTGTCCATTGACCCCCCTCAAACCCCACACCCACAACACACCCCTCCTGTACCTCTACACACACCGTATGTTGACATTGTCTCTAGAATGAGGTTTCCTGATTTGCATGTGTTTTCCCTTAGAAAATACTCCTCTCGTAACCAAGGACACAGGAAATAAACAAAGAGAACCAGGAATAATTTTAACTATAGAGTGAGGAGGAGTCCTTCAAATGCTTTAAGGCAGCGATTTCCAACCTTTCCCATCTCAGGGCACATAAACTAATTACTAAAATTCTGCAGCACACCAAAAAATATATTTTTTGCCCATCTGACAAAAGAATAGGTACAATTTTGATTCATTCATATCTGACTGCCAGTGTTGTGTTGGCTATTGTCATTTTTCTATTTGACAATCTAAGGGAAGAGAGGTCAGTGCCCCTGACTAAATAGTCAGGTATTGCATGTTTTAAACATTCTTGCAGGCACACCAGTTGAAAATCGCTGCTGTAGGGCAAAGCATCCCCAAAGCATAGTAGAAATGAGACCAGGGGGCATTCTGGAGGATTGTGGGAAGCTGCTTGGTGGGGGCCCTGGAACCGGGGGTGGGGAAGGGCTCAGGGGGAATAAGTGGAGGCTGGGAGAGCACTGAGTCAGGACTGTATCACCCTGCTCCCACTGCCCTGCGCTTCACCCCTGTGCCCCCAGACTCTCTCAATTCCATACTCTGTTGGCCTTTCCACTCTGTGTCATGTTCCAGGATGGTGCCAAGGCCTGTAGGTGCATCAGCACATTTTACCTTCCAATAAGACCATCAGATGAAAACTACTATCCCTATTATCGCATATTAAAATGAGGAAACTGAGACCCAAAGAAATTTAGTAACCTCCTCAAGGTCACACAGTTAGGAAGGGGTGAAGCTGGTTTTCCACTCCAGCCCTGACCAACTCCAAATCTAAGCTCTTGGCATGAAGGTGCCACACTGTGCTGCCCCTGGTTGGATGCAAAGGGTTGGATGCTCGCAGTAAGTGCTTTTCTGCTCACCTGAGCTTGGACTGGGACAGGTCCCATCAGAACCTACATGAGGTCACAGGGCATTCCTGCCCACTCAGGCATTCAGCCCTGACCCACTGCTCCCCGGTTCCTATTCCCCAGCCTTTGGTGTGGCACGAGGCCCCCAAGGTGGCTCTTTGTGTCTTGAGCAGCCTCCAACCCCAGAAAAGGCTGTGAGAGGGCAGTGTTCTTCCAGAAGACCTGAATCCTTATGGGTCTCCCCCAAACTAATCAGAGCCTGACACTGGTCCAGACCTCCAGATATTGCCCACCCAACCCCATCCCCGCCCGGGTCCAGGAGGGGTGCTCTAAAGAGCTGGAATGATCCTAGCTACTTATTACTTGATGCTGCAAAAAACCCACATTGGTTTCCAGAACATTGAGCTTCAGGAGAGGGTTTGCGGTGTCCCCCTGCCTCTATAGCAGGACTTCCTCTGAGGAAATCCCTGAAAGGCAGAGGGAGGATCCCTCCACCCACACAGTCTCCTCCAGGGATGGTCAGATAGGACAGAGAATGTGTGCTCTGATCCACTCACCCCCACCCTGCCGGTTTGCTCAGACCCAGCCCTTATCTCATCTCAGTGGCATCTCTGCGGGACTCCTTATGGTAACTCCCTGACATGAGAAACATTTTCCAGAGGGTTTCCCTCCTGAGGTGACTAGTTTTGGAATCCCTGAGTCACTTCAGCTTCCAGGGAATCCTTTGGAGTATGGGGAGATGGGTGTGGCAATGGGGAGAATGCTGAAGGTGGGAGGAAAGAAAAGTTCACCCAGCACCTGACATCAAGGGTGCCTCCCAGTGTGTCCTCACCTGCCTGGGCCAGACCTGGCAGGCAGAGGGGACCTGCTGGAAGATCCAACCTTGTGCCCCTGGGAAGAGAGTCAGCACCTAGCAGAAAAGGCAAGGAAGATGTGATGGAATATACCTCCACCCTTGGCCAGGAAAGGCTCCTGGGGCTTCAGAAAGTTAGAATATGGCTGCACCGGCCTTTTCTCAGAAAGACATTTAAGTCCTCACCTGATAGACTGAAGTTCCAACCCTGCACCTAATCAGGTCTTTTTTTTTTTTAATATTTTTATTGATTTCAGAGATTAGAGAAACATCAATGATGAGAGATTCATCCATCGGTTGCCTCCTGCACAGCCCCTATAGGGGACTGAACCCGGAACATTGGCATGTGCCCTGACCAGGAATCAAATCATGACCTTCTGATTCATGGGTCAACACTCAACCGCTGAGTGACACAAGCCAGGCTTTGATCAGCTCTTGACCTTGGACCCTCTCTGGTCCTTTCTCCTTATTTGCAGAAGTATGTGTGTGTTGGGTGTGGGGTGAGGGGTTTTAACCTGGATGGCCACAAAAGTGCCAACTAGCTTAGCTGCTCTGGACCTCAGCTCCTGAAACAGTGCTGAAACCACAGGACTCGGCAGAGTTTATTGAAGTTCATCTGCACTCACCTGATATTAGGTGGGGCGCTGGTGGTTAAAATGCTGAAATATCTCTGCTCCTGCTGGTAAAGAGATAATATCCTCAGCCCCAGGGCACCCCTACCTATCACAGCCTCCTTGTGGTCCTGCAACTAAAGGCCTGACTCAAATTAAGGCCTCCAGAACACTGCTGATTGGTAAGGTGATAATGATATTGGTTGCTGATTATTTGTAGTGTCACCTTTAGTTACAAAGATGCTTAGGCTCAGGAGCCTGCCTTCAAAGAGAACCCTGTGTGGCCTGGGAGACATAGAGAATCAGCACACAGGACAAGAAGCCCCACAACCCCCTCTTCAGCTGGGTGCTAGTATCTCCCCAGAGGGAGAGGGCCTGTAGCTTACTCAGCTTTGTACTACAATCGAGGCTGCCCCCTCTTCATTATCCATTCACCAAATATTTATTGAGTACTTACTTTACATCAGGCACTATTGTAAATGCTAGGAATGCAGTGGAGGACAAGCTAGATAAGGTCCCTGCCTCATGAAACTTCCATCTTAGGAAGAGACAGATGATAAATAAGGAAACAAGATAATTTCTGATAATAAATGCTATGAAGAAAATGGAAATCNATGCCCGGGTTGCAGGCTTGATCCCCAGCAGGGGGCGTGCAGGAAACAGCCGATCAATGACTCTCTCATCATTGATGTTTCTGTCTCTCTCTCGCCCTCTCCTTTCCTCTCTCTGAAATCAATAAAGATATATATATTTTTTAAATGAAATAGTGTTATGAGACAGGAAGTTATGGGAGCAGGGGATTGCTTTAATTTAGAAAGCCAGGGAAGGCCTTTGTGAGGATGAGCGGTCCAGGCAGAGGGAATGGAACATGCAGAGTCCTGGAGGTGAGAAACAGCTGAGTATATTTGAGAAACAGAAAGACAGTGTGGATGGAAAACAAAGAGTATGAGGGAGAGGGGAATGTGATGAGATGGGAGAGGTGGGCAGGGACCAGTTCACACAGGGTACTGTGGTGGAGCATTTGGATTTTATTTCAAGGTCAGTGGGGAAGTACTGACTGGATTCAAGAGTGATCTCTGTGATATGAGGTTCACAAGAGCAGCACGGTGTCCTTGATAGTCTCCTCCGGGTTGGCATCAAATAACAACAATAACAGTTGCTTTTATCCAACATTTATATATCATGGGACAAGCACTGTTCTCAGGATTCTCTTAATCCTCACAAGTCAATACTATCGGTTCCATTAATATCCCATTTTTACAGACAGGAACCCAGAGGTTCCAAGAGGTCGTATAGCTTGCTAAAGTCATCAGCTAGTGTTGGAACCAGGATTAGAAGCCTTGGCTCAGTGGTTAGAGCTTTGACCAGCGTACTGAAGGGTCCCGGGTTCGATTCCAGCCGAGGGCATGTGCCTCGGTTGCTGGCTCAGTCCCCAGGCCCCGATCAGGGTGCATGAGGGACACAACCAATCAATGTGTCTCTCTCACATCGATATTTCTCTCTCTCTCCCCCTTCCACTCTCTCTGAAAAAACAATGGGAAAAATATCCTCAGGTGAGGATTAAAAAAATAAAATAAAAAGAATCCAGGCAATCTGGATGCTAAGGGGTCCAAAGGAAGAAGAGCTGGAAGAATTCATGAGCACCTGAGAAGTTTTGAGTAGCAGGAGGAACAAGGAAAAGATCAATAAAGTCATCGGGTGGGGTGAGGGAGAGGGCAGTTGGAAAGGGGAGAGAAGACTGGGACCCAGATGGAGGGGTTCTGTCTTTCTTCCTCTGAATATAGTAAAGACAAGCCTCGAAGCTGAGGGCCTGGCTGCATGAGGCTACCTCCCAGGGTCTTAGCTGCCATCCTGCCTGGGCTTTCTCCAGCCTGAACTGTAGCCCACAGCCCTCCCTGCACAAGTTAAAATCACCTTAAACCACTGTGAAAGAGAGGGCAAGGATGAGGC